AAGCACCCCTTAAAATTTAATATGTGACGGATAAAAGGGTTGCCACAGAATTTGGAAAATAAATTCCCTGACGTTTCCCTGATTTCCCCGACACACTTTGATGAAATTCCCTAGCAATTGAAGATATGGCAAATGATCGAGAAGACATAATTGAAAATAGTTTTCAGCAGGGTGTCTACTAAAACAGGCTGGCCAAAAATCAGTACTTTTACAGTACTTATTCTGCACATTCCCAAGAAATTCAGTACCTCCTCAACAGAAAAATCCAGTACATTTCAGTACCCTCATTAGACGAAATTCGAAAAATTTGAATTTTTCCCTCAAATTGCGACACAAATGACAAAAATTCCGGATCTTCTTGCGAAATTTCCGCATTTTTTCCGTACTTCCGGGCCGCCCTTAAATAATCAATACTATTTTCGGACTTTCCGGAAATTCTGGACATGTAGACACCCTCTTCAGGCAAAATTTGTGGTTCGAAGTCTCAAATCTATTTTCGAGCGCAAATAAAGGAGATTTAACAATTTTGCCCTGACATTTTCGTCACATTATCAAGGTGTTCGCTGCGAACACCCTGTTTATCGATCCTTTTCCATAGGTTTAAGTGGCATAACAATCGACATATCGCAATTCACGCCACGCCACTGATTTCCCGGTTTTCCCTAACTTTTGGAAATTCCCTGACATTTCCCGATTTTTCCTGACTGTGGCAACCCTGATGTGACGGATAAAAATCAAAATTTGCAGTTTTAGTAAAAAACTTCATGTCCGCCTCTCTGTTCGACTCGATCCAGTGTGCGCCGCTGCGATCGTTTCAGTCGAGCCCTGAAAAAGAGTCCGAGCACTGGTTTCGGCTAATTGTAACTTGTAAGTGGAGTGGAAGAGCGGTGAGTCCGGTGGGTCGTTGTGCGTGCCTTGGATTGATGGTTGAAACCGATAGCAGACAATCAGTACAATCAGTGTGAACACTAGATTTCTACCGACTGAGAGGAGGATCGCTCCAGGGCTCAAAAATAGGTTCCCTAACTCCGACTTTCCCTTACTTTGACTGCGGGCTGATCATTAAAATCAGGGTGTCTAGTTTTTTCATTTTCGAAAATCTTGATGAAACACTGGAAAAAAAACATTGGATCTACAGTCCAGACTCTTAAAAAAAAACACATTGGATCTAGAGTCCAGACTCTTAAAAACATCGACAAGAAAAAATACTCTTGATTCAATCGGATTTTTGCTTAAATCAAGAACCAAGCCTCTTAATTTGAGCGGATTTCCTTTTGATTTAAGCTTAAATCTGATTGAATCAAGAGTCCTTTTCCTTGTCAATGTTTTCTAGAGTCTGGACTCTAGATCCAATGTTTTTTTTTTCCCAGTGAATCTTGATTTCTGACTGGACGCCGACTTTTCTCAAATCCTGGTTTTACGACCGATTTTTCCTCGAATCCTGATAGAATCGGGAAAATCCTGATGCTAGACACCCTGAAAATTGAGAGACAAAGCTATGGACAAAGAAACAGAGGGAGTATTCAGCGATCCGATTGGTTGGAATTGGTGGTTCCTATAGACTGCGAGAGGAAATGATGGGACTAGTTGCAGGGGCTCTCCTATGAGCAATAAGGTTTGACGATTTCACCGAAAATGCCAGTAAAGGAAGGGTATAGATATGGATTACATTTTGCAATAAGGAACCACTATTTTCGGCTCATTTTAGAAACAACATATATGCCACTGATTTCCGCCTTCAGATGAGTGCTTTTATGGAGGAGCCAGAAATAGTGGTTCCTTATTGCAAAATGTAATCCATATCATCAAAACAGTTCAAAACAAAGATGTCACCTACAAGAAGATTCCAAGAACTTCTTCAACTAGGGGTTTAAAGTAATTTTTAAAACAGAAAATAGTCATATCAAAATCAACGTCGAACATTAGTTACGTTATTCCCTCAGAAACGAAAGAATTTACGAAATTTTTACGGAGAGTTAAACGCGTCTTAAAAAATTCGGACATTAAAGATACGAGAAACCAACAATGGACCACTAGACAAGGTACGAATTTAAGCAATCTGATACATGTTCCTTTACCAGAATTTCACGTAGAACACGATTCGTGCAACGAAAATTACTGGAACCAACTCCTAACGAAGATATTAATGTTTTTATTTCACATTGGTTACGAGGAATTTGCACTGCCCGCTCACAAGAAACTCAAAGCTCTACTTGAGTCAAATCGCGCACTACAACGGTTTCAGCAAGCTTCTCAATCGAGCAATGTTCATTTCCCATCATGTGTTGTTCAAACCACAAGAAATTTGCTATAGCTGAGCCAAACTGCCAAACCGTCAAGATTGAGGTTGCCAGATTTTTATATCGCAGAGATTATCATGATAAACGTTTAGCGCGCGATGAGAATCACGTAGAGCATTGAGTTTTCATGAGCGGGTGGTTTGAATTCACGCATCAAGAATCATTAAATATCTTCGTAAGGAGTAGATTTCGTTAATTTTTGCTGTGCGCATCGCATTTTACGTGAAATGTTGGTTAAAAAACATGTCGACGGTGAAACTACCAAACCACGTATCTCGTTTGCGGTGTTTAAAAATCTACGCTCACATTTTATTTTTCTGAAGTAGACCAAATCAATATCATTCCTTGAAATTTTCACGGATTTTTTTCCGCACAAAGAGGAAAAATCACAGAAATTTTCAAGACTGGATGTTAAGTAGTTTTTCATTTAAAAAATAAAGTATGGCAGGAAGTCTGCGACGTCGCAAACCGAGATACGTGGTTTGGTAGTTTCACCGTCGATGTATCAGAATGCTGAAATTCATACCTTGTCTAGTGGTCCATTGGAATGACAGACTTTTTACTGAATTCAGACACTTTACAAACTACATGCACGCGCTCTTTCGGAAAAAATCATATTTAATGGCTTGATAAAATCCGATACGGGGAGTCCATACGTCACACTCGGAGGCCACTGAACCATCGTTGATTTTTTTCCCAGGGCAGCGACGAAAATCCCCATAAAACGGCCACTGCCCCTCGTCTCGGTCGCGGGCGATGCGATGACGTCATCGCGGCCCGACCAGACAACGCGGTGTCCGGCGACGCGCGGCGGGTGCAGAGCGGGACGCGGCCCGCGGACGTGCAGGCGCAGCAGTCCGCGTCCGAGACGGTTGCCAGATTTCCCTGAAAATCAGCAGACATTTCCAAACACTGAAAAAAAATTCTCGGCGTCTTTACCACGGTCCGTTGGTACCTTTACCATCTCACTTTTTTTTTACCAATTATTGGTAATTTTACAGCGAGACAGACTGGTAAGCTTACCTAAAAACCGGTATTTTTACTGTTTTATTCAGGTAAGAATACCACTTTTATTGGTAATCAATTCCCGGTAACTTTGCCATTTTATCTCGGTAATTCTACCACAGTCGATTAAAAATATTGTTGTTTTTACCAAGGTCCAGTAAAATTACCGAGAGAGTTCAATTATTTTACCGAGATTTCTCGGTAAAATTACCAATTCCATAAATGGTAATTTTACCGAGAAAAAACTGGGATCAAATAGAACCCTGAATTCTTGGTAATTTTTCCCTTTTCTTAGTAAATACACAGGGATTTTTTTTTCAGTGTAAGACTCCTCGTTAAAGATGCTGATTTTCCGAACCATCCGGCAACAATGCGAGTTGATGCCGTAATACTTCCGGTGATTTTCCGCGGTCCGCGAGTCGGCCTGGACCGAAGACGAAAAGCGGAAACAGGAAACCCCTCGCGGCGTCGGGCCCCGAACCCTGAATCTCCGATAACGAAACGAGATCTGGAACCGTAGTGTTACCGGAAAATGAGAGCGGGAGGTACGCACAAAAAAAATTGTACAAATTAAAAATTAAATAAACAAAATGCAGAAAAAACCGGTTCCGTGCGTCATGCCAAGCTGGCGCTCCCTTCGTCGTTTCCCGCTGACGAAAGAACGTAACTCCATTCCAAGGTTGCAAAACTGACTCCAAAAATTCGGGTTTTCACAAGAATGTACCAGCGCGATTCTTGTAGAGGATGTTTCTGATTTTTCCATGGGATCAAAAGAAAAATCAGCGAAACTTTCGGATAAAAATGCCGAGGATTCTCCTGGTGAAAACGCAATTAACAAGGAGGAATTTGGCAACATTGAAGAGTACTTACGTGTTTTCGTGAGAAAAACAACGAATTTCAACGACTCCCAGTCTACTAGAGACAGGAAAACGTAAACGAAATTCCCGGCACATTTTTAGGGGTATTTTGTTCGCAGATACTGACAAAATTCCTTTTTTTTTGTATAATTATTAATCATCAGTCATGATCGTCTGTTCAGAACATTTTACAAAACGGAAATTTGCTTCACACTTTTTTTTT